GGGAGGCAGAGCCAGGCGGATCTCTGTGAGTTCGAGGCCAGCCTGGGCTACCAAGTGAGCTCCAGGAAAGGCGCAAAGCTACACAGAGAAACACTGTCTCAAAAAACCATAAAAAAAAAAAATATGGCTAAGACTTAAAAAAATCCCCATTGGTCACAGAATTTACCTATTTTAAAAAGGTCTTACTCCAGGCGTTGCTATTTTTCCAGTACTTGGATTTTAAATCTTTATTTGTGGGAAACAACTTACCTTGGCCCTTCGTGCATTAAGGTTCAGTTTTGACTCACAGATCTTCAGGGATTATAAAAACTTTTAAGATGAATCTATTTTTCTGGTTTTATGTGAGAAACTGACTTAACTGACTTTCACTAGAAAATAAAGAGTTTTCTTAAAAGCTGTCATCCAATGTGCAGTCCAGGTATAATGGCTAAGGCTCTCCTATTTCTAAAGAGCAGCTGAGTGCCACCAATAAGAGGAACAGCACACAACAGTGAGTGCATACTTTGACAGTTGACAGTTGCCACACTGTTCTTTCTCAGCCTTCTAGGCTTGTTTCTGAGCCACATTTGAAGATGGTAGGGATTCATTATCAATAATCAAGTACAGAACATTTTTCTAACATGCTTTCCTATTACCACTAATCAAAGATAGAATATATCCCAGAATTGAAGTGAGAAAAATGTTAAATGTTCATCAGTTCTTGGTCTATTCCTTCACTTCATTGGGAAGATAAAGACACAGAATCATACAATTAAAAGTGTTTCATGAGGAATGAGTGAGCAGTCTTACTGGGGAAAAATGAACTAGGAAAATAGGTTTCCACTAACTACACAGCACTATGAACACCAAGTTGACTTCAAATTTTTTATTGGAAAGACAAAAGTTATAATGAAAACTCAAGCTTACCTCAGCACCCGTAATTTACATCGTTGGGATATCAAGTTTTGGCATAAGCTCTCTAACCCATTGTCTTCTAAGTCAACATTTTTCAGGTCAAGATGTGTCAGGGTATGGCAGGTAGTCAAAAAACTAAAATCCTGACAGTTATTCAGGAAGCAGACAGATCCAAAC